AGTGTTTAATGGGGGAGAGTGTAAGGGCTGCTTTACTCTATATCTAACGCCGTGCTGTCCCTGTCCTGGGAGTGTTTGATTGGAATGTTGGTCAGTTGAACAGCACTGTCTGATGCCAGTCCCTGAAGTTGAGCTAAAAGAATAATTTTAAATAAAAGCTCCAATATTTCCAGGGCTGAAAATTCAAATTGTTAAAATTTGGCAATATTATTAATAGTGGTATTTTTGTTTAATGAAATATCTGTGTCGAAACCTTTGCTGTTGAACATTCATGAATTAAAATGAATAGGTTTGTCTCGGTGGTTACCCAGAGAGCAGACACAACATCTCTCTCAGGCTCAGGCAGTTGTTCTGTTTCAAGAGCTGAATCCTAAATATTGTGTAAGTTTGAGCCTGATTGGAAGCTGCTTGTGGAATTGGGATCTCTGTGGGTGGTGATCTTGAAGTCATCATTAATCTAAGACTATTAGGTGTGGGAGGACACTGAGTGATGCAATGTGGATAACTGGAGGTGGGAATGAGATGTTGAGAGTGGATAATGGAATTGGTTTTTCTCTGGGTGTGAGACTTAGATTTCTGGGTTTAGACTTCACATTTTCAGTCTCCCTCCTAACATTTTGCCTTTGTGTGTCTATGGCCTGAGGTACTCCTTGTAGAAGAACAGATTGTAAGGGGAGTTCATGGAGAAAGTTGTGATTTTGGAAAAGCATGCAGGGGTCAGCACAAGATGCTGACAGTGTGGGGTGGGAGGGCCAGGAGCTAGAGAAGCGAAACTGAGATAAAGTGTGGTAGGGCTGGACACGGAGGGGTGGGGAAGAGCTGAAATGGGAAGAAGCCAGCTGAAGTTTGGAGGGACTTTGTGGGGAGTTGGTGAGCTGGGGGGGTGAAGGAACGGGGAGGGGCAGGGTGTGGGTACGGCAGCTACTGTGCTGAAGGAAGTGGGGGCAGTCCCTGTGATGGAGGGTCTGGGGAATGAGGCGGTCCCTGTGATGAGGGTCTGGGGAATGAGGCGGTCCCTGTGATGGAGGGTCTGGGGAATGAGGCAGTCCCTGCGATGGAGGGTCTGGGGAATGAGGCAGTCCCTGCGATGGAGGGTCTGGGGAATGAGGCAGTTCCTGGTGATGGAGGGTCTGGGGAATGAGGCAGTCCCTACGATGGAGGGATTGGGG